TAGGGAAAACTCTCAATTCCTAAGGATTAAGTTTATTGTTTTTATCCAAAAGACCAAAGCCTAATGAGATCCTTACAGGAGTATGAAGAGACTTAACATGGAGTTAGAATTAGAGGTTGTTGTTTTAATTTTCATTATAAGCATACCAAGTATAAAATTTCAAAGGCAACTGAGTAGTTTCTCACAGAATTCCAGCAAGGTGATGATTAATTAGCTGTTTCTAATTAGTTTTGTGTTGTTTTTACTGTGTTTAGTTTTTCAGTTAACTTTTAGTTATGTTAAGGGATGATGGTTTTCTATTACTGTTTTCCTTTTAAAAAATGTTAGTTAAGTTTAAAAGTAAATGCAAAGAAAAATATTAACAGTGATACAAATGTGGAGAAGAGGTAGTAGACAATTCTGGAGGCATGGGAGCCCAGCTAAGGTAGACACGACTCCCTTCCTAGCCTGCCCCGTCTTTCTCACAAGCCTTGTATCCTTCCACTTCCTTGGAGCCTTTCTAGTTTTTTTCCCTGAATGTCACATAGTAGTCTCTGCTGCTGAATAAATTACCTGAATATGTGCTAATTTTCCCTTTACTTTTTATTTTATAGCCTGGGCACTAACAATTTCTTCCTTTGTCAAAGTTTAGGAAATCCTAAGAGAGTATGGGGAGTCTTTCCAAGTTATACTAATAAGAAATGATCCTTTAAAGCACAGTCTGATGAATAAAAGAAATAAAAGTAGATAATAAGTATTAGGTGGCAAGATGCACAATTTAAGAACAAGAGATTATTATAAATGCAACATGTCTTGATCTCAGATTCATCTGCACTTTATTAAGCTTTTCTTACCTTTAAGAAACTTTAAACCATCCATTAACCTCTTCTGATAAACCTTTCCATCTATAAGAAAAAGCATAATTTCAGTCACAGGTGGAGATTCAGAGACATACAAAATCGATTTTTAAAAAACACACTTTTGAATTGTCTTAGAAATTTTGGTTTACTGACAAATAATGACACTATGTAAAATGTCACTGATAGTTCAATATATGTTTTAAAAACACCACTAGTGGGATACTATGAAATATATACTACTTAAGGAATATTTATTGTTGAAGATGAATCTGTCTTATCTATATCTGTGATTTGATAATTATATATTGTATGCATGTTGTGAAAAACCATACTGTACACCTTAAAAATAATGAAAAATTATATAGAGTATAGGAAAAAGTTTTAACTTTGGCAACATAGGCAATTAATACTGGCGCTCCACCATGCTATTAAAACGTATCTTTTTTCCTTTCCTTTTGTGATTTTTCCATCTTCCCCTACTAGATCACTTTCTTTCTTTTTCTCACTTATTCTGGCTTAAACTTTAACTCTTTCAGGAGAATCAAAAGTAATAAAAGACGTAAGTGAACCCTGATAATAGAAATCATGATGGTAAAATTGCTGCTTTTCAAATGGCACAGATAATCTTTCACAATATAACAGGATCATTTACAATTATATAACATGGGTCATAGACTATTTTTGGCATGCAATCAGATAGAGATAGTTATGGAAGCTTTCATGATTCAACCATAAGCCTGCCTAGAAGACTACATTTTATCTGAAATACGCACCATCAACTGGCAGATTAGTCATCAGTTCTGAGAGCTCCTTATCTGTGAGCTCTACCCCCATGTTTCTTAGAACTGTTTCCATGTCATTGACATCAACTTCCTCTCCTTTAAACAGACAGAAATTATAATACATGAGGTTTTAAAGAATTATCTAATGATTCTAAATAAAATGAAATCTATTATTAGCCACAACTACTCAATGTATAGTATCAATAAAGTCAAATGAGACTTCTCTGACTATAGGGCAGAAAATTAAAGTGTTCTTTTTTTTTTAACTCTAGTAATAACAGAGATGATATACCATAGTATATGATAATAGATGTTCATAATTTATTTTGAGAGATTATAAGCAGGTGATACAACTTTAGTCCCTTTTTATTGCACTAACCTACATTTTTTTGTAAATATCTGGTTAATCTGAAAAAAATGAGATCATAGGATTTGTTAACACAATATGGCACTCTGCTTTGTTGCTAAAACAGTAATAAGGGAACAAAGTCTAGGAAATTGGGACACAATCATTATTAAAAACAGTGTTAAAAACAGTGTCAGGCTGTAGCTCAGTAGTTAAGGGAGTTAGATTCCAAAGGCTCACTATCATTCAAATCCTGGCCTTGGAAACTTGAAAAACATGGTAGGCACATATATGTGCATCCCCAGAATCTTGACAGTAAAGAGAAATGGAGGAAAAGGATTGCAGAGTGATACACTCTATGGAGGCAGAGGTGCTCTCTCTTTTTAAAAAAAAAAAATTATTTAATTTTATTTATTCACTCATTTGTTTTAATTTGATCAGAGAGAGACACAGAGAGAGAGAGAGGGAGAGAAAGTGAGTTAGCAAGCCACCAGGTCCAGGACTTGAACCATGGTCGGCCATGTGGGAGTGTCCAGCGCTTTAACCACCACACCACCTGCTGGTCCCGAGAGGTGCTTTCTTAAATGTGCCCCTTGGCAATTAAAAGAAAAAAAAAGCATTACTGAAAACAGAACAAAGGCAACAGGAAAAAATTATAAGTGCAAAGAACTGGAATAATCTATACTTAGTATTCTCTATATTTATTTTATAAATAATATTATTTATTTTATATTTCATCATCAAACAGCTGGTTAAATGTGTGAATAGTACACTCTCAAGAATTAGGGTTTCCATTGCCAGTTTTCTCAGTATTCATGTCTGAAGATAATTACATTATATGGATAAATAAGAATAAACTTGTATCTTTAGTTTAATCAAAAGTCTTAACAAAAGAACTCCAATATTCTTAGCCTTCTAACATGTAGAACTCTTTCCTGTTCTTCTCAAGTAAAGTGCTTCATTTACTTTGAGCAGACTTCAAAATATACTTTTCTAGGCCATCAAGTGGTAGCATGGTAGTTAAGGCAGTTGGATCCCATATGGCTGACTGTGGAATTCAATTACTGCATCTAATGACTTGAAAAACATGCTGGGTGCACATGCATGCATGCCTGAAATTCCAAGAGAATGGAGAAGTGAAGGAATTGCTCCATGACTATCCCCCATAGGGGTACTTTCTCAGTTTCCCTTTCTCTCTGACTCTCTTCAGTGAGTGCATGGGCCCTCTGGCAAAGAAAGAAAGGAAAAATCACACACACATATATTCTCACTTAAGCATGATCTTTTCTCCAGATTTTTTCTTTCTCTTTAAAAATACATTTTTCTTGGGACCAGCAATTAGCGTAATGGCTATGTCACTGGACTCCCACGTAGCTGACCCAGGTTGGAGTCCTGGATCCAGTGGCTTAAACTCACACTGGGCGCATGTGTGTGCATGTCCAAGATCTCAAGAGGAGAATGGAGGAGAAGGGATTGCGGCATGGCCATCCCCCCTGGGGAGTGATTTCTCACTTTCTGTCTCTCTGTCTCACTCTGTCTTTCTGGCGAGCGCACACGCCCTATAGAAAAAACTTCTCCAAAAAAAAAAAACCCACACATTTTTCTTGGTTCATGATAGTGTGTGTGTGTGTGTGTGTGTGTGTGTGTGTGTGTGTGTATGTATGCATGTTAAAGAGAGAGAGACAGAGAAAGAGAGAGAAGCACCCTTCACAGGGTTTTATCACGCCATGATTCTTTCTCCAGTCCTCCAGCCCATTGGATTTTGAACATTCAAGCTTATGCCAAGTGTGTTTCAGGCTGGGGATTTGAACCCTGTCATGTGGGATCCAGTCTCTCTTGAACAGTGCGTTACTGCTTTGCCACTGAGCTGGGCAGCTTCTTCTGATTTTACAAGTCCATTTTTTTTTGTATAAACCTGAGTATATTTTTATTACTTGTTATTCTTTTAAAGTTTACTTATTTATTTCTTTCATATGAGAAAGAGTCAGTTACCCTTGATGGGATCTTCATACCAGTCCTCTCCTGGGCATTACAACCAACCAGGGACACCCTGCATACAGGCACACCCTGCATGCTCAGGTAGACCCAGGATGGGACCCTGAAGACTTCCCATGTAGCTCCAGCATCAAGCAGCAGCAACACTATGTCTGCACCACTGTGGCTGGGTCTATCATTTTCTTAAAAACGTTTAATTCAAAGAAAATAAAGTCAGCTGACTGAAAAAAAAAGTATTTATTTATTTTTCTCACCTGTAACAGCTTCGACTTTATCCATCAGTTTTTTCAGATCAATTTTCTCATTGGCTGTAAGACAAAGTTTAATCAGAGGGAAACAATGTAGACTCAGTAAAAAAGATATATAGGACAGGAGTGCTATTTAAGAGTTAAGTAGATGACTCATGAACATAAATCTAGTTAAAATGAGGACTAAGACTTAAAAGTAAATAGTGAATAAAAATAACCTTTTGGGCCAGCAGGTGGCATAGTAGTTAAGGCGCTGGACTCCCACATTCTTGACCATGGTTCAAGTCCTGGATCTGGCAGCTTGAAAATCACTCTGGGCATGTGTGCGTGCATGTCCAAAATCCTAAGAAGTGATAGAGGAGAAAGGATTGTGTGGCCATCCTCCCTGGAATGTGATTTCTCACCTTCCCTCTCATTGTCTGTTTCTGGTGAGTTCACATACCTTATGGCAAAAACTTAAAAAAAAAAAAAAAAAAAACTACAAAGGCTTGCTTAAAGAGTAAAATGCAAATTATGAAAATAAGTTTATTTTATATTATATTGAAGAAAGTTCAGGTTATATTTATTAGCTATCCCATAATTATTAGACTAAGTAATGAATTATTCACTTTTAATTGTGTGTTGGGGTATGCTTTCCTGACAAAATTATATTATCATGCTTATGGCAGCCTTCTGAACTTTGAAACAAGACATAAAACCTAACTTTTATAAAATGATTGATTTTTCTCCCAAGAGCACCTCTAAATCCTTTGACATTCAAATCATTTTATTTTTAGTCGCCTATATTCATACAGAATATTCATTTTTTCCTCTTTAATTATGAAATAATTTAACTCTACTAGGTCCATATTTTTAGGGCTTTGTGATTCCAGCAGTCCTCCAACTTATTTTCATTTACTTCTAAAAATTATGCATTTTCTCAATATTTGTAAGATTATCTTGTATGGTCATGTGTTCATGCAATGGGTAGAGACTAGTATTAAGCAGTAAGGAATGTTTGATAGAAATGAATTGCTTAAGTGGTAGGTTTAGTGATCCCCCAAATGGTGGATAAGAATTCAGCCAAAGTCTGATAATTTTATGACATCATTTGTGTCCATCTTAAAAGAAAAACAAAATAAATGAAGTTACAAAGTTAAACTTTAAAACATACTTTGTATAGTAAATTAAAAAATATATATACAAGCATAAGACCAGCAGATGGCAAAATGGTTACGGTAGCTGGACTCCCACATAATCAATAGCAGTTGAGTCTTACAGCCTGTGGCTTAAACTCACACTGGGGGTGTGTGCGTATGTGCCCAAAATCCGAAGAGGAGAATGGAGAAGGGATTGTGTCATGGCCATCCCCCCTGGGCAGTGATTTCTTGCTTTCTGTCTCTGTCTTTCTGGTGAGTGCATGTGCCCAACAGCAAAAATCTCACTATAAAAAAAAATAAAGTAAATAAATAAATAAAAATTAAAAATATATAAGCATACAAAGAAAAAGTAAACTTTTTTAAAATTTAATTTTATTTACTAATTCATTTATTTTAATTTGACCAGAGAGAGACAGAGAGAGAGAGAGAGAGGGAAAGCGAGAAAGCAAGCCACCAGGTCTGGGACCTGAACTGTGGTCAGCCATGTGGGAATGTCCAGAGCCTCAACCACCACGCCACCTGCTGGACCCCAGAAAAAGTAAACTTTTATAAACTTTTCTTACCTTCATTACTATATCTCACTATTAATAACAGTTTGTTATACATCTTTCCAGACTTTCCTTTCTCCTTTTTTTTTTAAAAATAGATTTTTGCTATAGGGCGTATGTACTCACAAGAGAAATAGATACAGAAAGTGAGAAATCATCCCACAGGAGGGATGTACACACCACAGTCCCTTCTCTTACATTCTCCTCTCAAGATTTTGGGCATGTACACAAGTACCCAGTGTGTTTTAAGCCACCAGGTCTGGGAATCAAACCCCAGTTGACTGCATGGAAGTCCAGTGACATAACCATTACACCATCTGCTGGTCCCAGACTTTTCTTCTATATATTAATAAAATATACTACATATTCTAAAATCAACATAATACATATTATTCTATGACTTGTTTATTGTAGTGACCAAAAAAAAGGTATCTTAATACCAAAGGATAGAAGGATGAGCTATGACTGAACATATTAGGTTAAATGTTGGATTAAAGTTAGTGATATGTAGATGGGTCAGAAAAAACAGGTCGCAGATTCTGTTTTGTAAAACCAGACAATAATTCCTGCTCTTTTCTCTAGTGTTTGTCTACTATCCCAAGATGTATAAAGAGATAACAGGTTTTAAAGGATCAAAAATGAAGTGCCTTTTTAGTTTCATTGTAGGATCTGCTGAAAGCTATTTGAAGATAATGTATAAACCTTTGAAACACTCTTAATGAATCCTACAACCTCAACTCTGTTTACTCACCATCCCTCAGAAGATTCTTTAACAGATCAAGTTCTTTTTCTGTAAGCTTGACTCCCATGACTTTTAAAATAGCATCCAGGTTATCTACATCAACCTTCCCTCCTTGAGAACATGAAAGAATGGAAGAAAAATGAAATCGCTTAAAAATACATTCAAACACATATTCTTTTCAATTAACAGGTGTTACTATTAAATATACACTGATAAAAGAAGATGACTTAATAATCTAGTACAACTGCTAATATTTTCAGGAAAGGTAGACAACTACAATAGATTTGTCTAACTTGCTAGAAGATTCAAAATAGCATTATAATTAGAACTTGTTTCCTCAAACCTTGGAACTTATTTTTGCAAACCTTAAACATACTACTCATGACAAAGGTGGGGCAAATTTAAGTAAACATAGCCAGAGAGCACTAATCAATAATCTTCGCAAAGAAGTAGTGATTGTATTTGTTTCTTAAACTCTCATTCTAAGATCGTTTTCACTATTCCTGATCAAATTTTGGAATAAATGTCTATCTTCACCTTCTCTTCCTTCCTTTCTCCTGTCTTTCTGTCTACATGTCTTTATTTCTGTTCATACGCTTTTTTAGAGAGAGTTTGAAAAATGCTAGCCAACACAGAACTTCCTTCTAAGATAAAGTAAAGATTATCACTAGGAAAAACACAAAGAAGTAAAATAAAGAATTATAGTGCATTGATACAAATTTAACCCTTGAAGATATGTCCTATGTCTTCTCACTGTGTTTCTTACTTACTTTTATTATGCCTCACATCTTTAAGCAATCTGTTTTGAAACACCTTTCCATTAGCTGTAAGGAAAGATATAATTGAAGTCTTGAGAAAATTGATATGGAGATTCACCAAAACATATATAACTGCAGAAAAATGATTTAATGATTTGCTTTGAAGTGAATCTATTTTATAGTCACATAATGTTGACATTTAAGAATAGAAATATTTTCCACAGTGACACATCTATCCATTCTTTGGTATTAAATACATTTATTAGCTTAACAGTTCTTGTTGCAACACTAAACACTATATAAAGGTTATAAAGGTTCTTTTTTCTCCTTTTTTTTTTTTTTTTTAAAGAAAGGCTTTTGCTATAGACAAAGAGAGACAGAGAGACAGAAAGTGAGAAATCACTCCCCAGAGGGGTGGGCACACCTCAATTTCTTCTCCTCCTTTCTCCTCTCAGGACCTTGGGCACACTGCATACGTGCCTGGCCTGAGTTAAGCCAGCAGGTCCAGAACTCAAACCACACTCAGCTACGTGGGAGTCCAGCAATGTAACCATTATGCCATTTGCTGGTCCCTTTTCTTTTTTTTATTCTACCATTGTTCTACTCACTTTTTCTTTAAATTTTAAAAAAGTTTGTTTCCTGAGAGAAAGAGAGAGAGAGGGAGGGAAATGCTGTCAACAGGATTTCACACTATGATCCCCTCTCCCACACAAGCCTTTGTCAGCCTGCTAGGATCATGAACACACACACACACACACACACACACCTGGCATGTATAAGTCAACCTGGGAGCTGAATCCTGATCTTCCATATAGTCGCCAGCATTGCAAAGCATTGTACTGTCTGTCACTGTGCTACTATGAATGGTACTCATATTGTAAAACTAAAATTAATCTGAGGTAGTAATATTAGTCACCTAGACAGCTATATGGCAATATAGTGGTGACTCTCAAATTGTATTTGAAGAACTAATGGTGGAATTTCTTATCAAGTCAGAAGTGCCTTTTTGTTCATTTAAAGCTTTTTAAAGATAAAATTATATTATTAAAAGATTCAGAATGACTCAAACAGGCCCATTTAGTCAAGTTCCCAGGAAAGCATATAGCATTTATGTGACTTACCATCAAAGGGCACTGTTTCCAACAGTTGCTTATAATCCTTATTTGTAAGTTCAATACCCATGTTTTTTAGAATATTTGGTATGTCACTAGCATCAACCTTTCGTCCTTTAAAAAATAGAATATTAATAGGAAAACTATTAAAGAATCGAACTATTTCAATTATCTAAAAGTACACTTTGCCACTATCATTTTTTTCTTTAATACAAAAAGAAAAAGAATGTAAGATTTCTAAGTAAAAATAGTCAAACTTAAAATAGAATTTGTCTTGGGAACCAGCAGTTAGCGTAATGGCTATGTCGCTGGACTCCCACGTAGTCGACCAC